CTCGGTCGCTTCTCTCCCTCGCCTTGGCCCCCCCTGTTTCCAATTGCTGGCTACGCCACTGGTCACATGTATATAGGGCTGCCTACATGGAAAACGTCAGTCTGTCAGAGGCCACTTGGCCGAAGCCGTGGGACTAATAATAGGCTAATTAGCGGTTATGAACCATTGGCTATTTGGTAAAAAAAAGCCTATATATTATAACCAATTTCTTTGCGCTGTAGTTCCTATACCCGGGAGTATATCTACGTATCGACGTTTCAATATTTTCATTTATCGATTTATAAATGAATAGCAGTACGTGATTATGCTTATTAGAGGAATTAGAGAAATCAGATTTATTCGTCTAATAGACTGGCACAGACAAGAACTATTCATTATTGCCGTGTAAGTGGAATGTAATGCGCACTTTCATAGTTTTGTGTTGGTATTATGTAAGTGGCGCATTTACATCCATACGAATCCAAATTGTAGCACTATATAATATTGAACTCCTAGTAGCAATAATAACAAAACATTTTGTAGTAGCTTTGTTGAACAGTGATTCACTGACATATATTTATAGACTGCTGTAATTTATATACTTACAATCAAGAATTTAATAGAGGAAACTTCGTTACATCTGTAAAATATCACTTATTGCTATAGAAGTTTGGAGGATAACAGTATAGCAAGTCTTGGGTAATTTTACTACAACCGAATATTACATTTTCATATAGACCTAGATACATTCTATGCATAAATCGTTATGATCTTTTGCGGATTTTTACAGCACATTTTAACATGTTCACGGTTTATTCTGTAGATTAGTAAGATAATGCTTCATTTACATTAATTGAGCTATGTTACACCGTTAGCGAAGGAGAAATGCTGTTTTTACTGAGGGCTCCTGGTTGGGTGCTTGCGACAGATTCTCCCGGAATATAAATTGCCTGCATTTTGATTTCCGCTAGACGATCTGCGGCTAAAGTACCTCGTCTCGGTAAAATAGATGTTTGGGGAATTTCCGCTCCAACTCCGTTGATGAAGCAATGCATGCACAAGGTTATGACGAAGAAGGCTAGCGCACATATTATCACGATGATGATTCCCAGTGTGCCCAGTGCCATGGAGTATGTAGCTTATAACCTCATGAGGAGTCACCACTATATGTTTGTCGACGTGTGCTTTGGCACACGATTATTCCAAAGTTCTTGCCGTGCACTGGTCTGAATTTCAGTTGCAGTTTTTAATCTTTTTTGTTATGTGAGTGAGGAAGGTCGCAAAAATTAGGTTATACATTCCGAAGGTTCTTAATGCATCAAAATGCGGTTCGTGGTTTTCGTAGTCTTCTTTAAACCATTCTCTGTGCTTGAACAATTGAGTGGAGCGAGAGCAGCACTAATTCCATTACAAATCTGGAACAATAATAACATTTTATTAAATATAATATATTACGCTATATATAGATTTAATTGAGTAAATTCCTATATTTGTTTTTCAATGCTAGACTATGTAGCTTGCGTTCTTAAAGAGCAACTACTGCAGATATGTCGGGCCTTGTATAGCGCGAGAGTGAGTATTTTAAAACAATAGGGCACAGGTTAACACTAGGGCCATCAGAATGGGTTCAGAAAAGATATTTATAGTCATCTATCCTTTTTACAATTTTTATTGGAGAACTCTTAAAACTGAACTAGAAAGAAGTATTATACGGAAAAACTCGCTATAGTAATATAGACGGAACCGAAAAGTGTTAATAATTGAGTGTGGCAGAGATTAGTTTGTACTGGAGTCTGGAAGTAAGATTCTGTGGATTGAAGTATTTTGAGGGAATTCCCTATATAAAGAACAAAAACATAGAAACCGAAAAATCGTGACTCGGTGTAGTAGTCATGCAGAAATCACAGTCAAGGTGGAACGCGATTGTTATATCACAGTTCCTTAACGGGTGTAAATGTTACGGGAAAATTAAAAAAATAATGGCTTTCGTGGAATCTTTATCTAGTCTTGAAGGAAAATATTGGTGTCTGCAACGGGTGCCCGGATATTTTTCCCTTCAATTGTAATTAAATATTTCGTGATTCATTAACAAGAAAATATCTATTCAAAGTGCATAACTACACATATAAATATCAAAAGTATAACAGCAAAGAATTACATAACACCTGTTTTTTCTGCTTTCATTTAGCTATATAATATATAGCTAAATTAAAGATTTCAATCACTATAGAACAAATATATTACCAGCACACCGATAATCCAATCATATTGGCAACAAGCGATGCTGGTTGAATATATTGGAAATGCCATGCGAATATGATAGGCAGTTTCATTCAACAACAGTATAATGGAGCAAAGCGAAAAGTGAGAGTAAATCCGTGGGCATCACACACACACACACACACACACACACACACACACACACACCATCACACACACACACACACACACCACACCATATATATTATTATATAGTATATATATATACTAATAATAGAGAGAGAGACTCTGGGAGAGAGAAGAGAGAGGGGAGAGAGAGATAGATAGATCGAAATATAGATATAAATATAATAAATACTCGCAATTCGTGGTTCGTTAGCTCTATCCGTGTTCACTGCTGTTGCTACGTATTTTCCTTGTAAACGCGCGGTATCTACGCAACTGATCAAAGCATATTGTTCCCGTCCCGGCAAGCTCTTGGTGCATCTGGAAATATTGAAGCCTAGCAACCAACAAATGAGATATATTGTATAAAACAGGACATAGGTTGAGGTTCGGTGGTCACAGTAGCGCGTTTCCAAGCGTGTGATATATATATATATATATATATATATATATATACTAATATATACTATTATTATATACTATCTATATCAGGACTAATAAATGAAAACGATAATCAATTTCATGAATAATGT